CTTCCCTGATCTCCTTGTTCAGAATCAAAGAATTCCTGCACTATCTTCTCGATCTTGTATGCATTTTCTCTGTCAATTAAGTCCTTGGAATTGCCGCTACGAAATATTTCTATCAATTTCGGGATAAGTCCAGCCAAAGAAACGGCCAAGGTTTTGGTCACATCGTTTAAACTTGTTTTCCCATAAACCAAAATAGAAAAGTATGTCAAAAACAAAAAAGATCCAATTATTGCCATTTTTACGAACATTATGGTGTAAGTCTTGCTAAATGGCAGGATTTTATCGACAACTTTCTGGAAAAGGACACTCAGTCGGTCAATCCTTGGCACTCCTTCGTTATCCACTATTATGACTTGTCTGTTTTCTTTTTCTTGGTATTCTTTGCACATGTCAAACGTTTGTCTAAGAAGATCTTTGTATGTATTTCCAACTGAGCTGAAACAGTTCCAAATGTAGAAAACGAAAAGAGAAAAGAGTGCAATAAGAGGTAAATAATCATCCTTACTGGCAACTATTCCCATGCAAAGATAAGTTATGAGTCTTGCAATTAATAGTAGCGAGCGAGAGACTATTTTTGCAAATGATATTCCTGTTAGAATACTCATCATAACGGATAGAACCATGCCAAGTACAACACCGATACAAACAGCAACGTTTCCTAGTATCTTTTTCAGTGTACTAACAAAGCGATAGGAAAACCACAAAACATAGATAAATGCTTGGCTAATGAGAATGTTGATGCTGCGGCCCAACGGTGAGATATACCAACCATATCCAATGAAAATCAATACGAAAACGATGGGGAACAAAATCAATACAAGGAGAAAACTGCATACAAATTTAATAATCTTTAAGCAAAGAAAACTTTTAAAATCGAATAGTCCTTTGAAGCCAAAACAGAATTTCATGAAAAGATTTCTGGCAAAAGAACACGGTTTCATCCAATCCATTTCCAAATATTGGCTCTGAGCTTCACGAATTAATGAATATTCGTGCTGTACTGTTTCCTGGCTATGAGCAGGTGCAAAAGAAAAATTTAGGTTTTCATATCTTGGAAGCAAAGAAAGAATCAACAGTACAATGCTATAAGACACAGCTGCAAACACTACAAACGACATCTTCTTTTCCAGCCAATTCTTTCTCACTGCATCATTAAACATCTTTGGAATGTCATATTTAGCGGTGTAGACTACGAGACCCCAGTCAATATAGAACAATGTGGGCAGTAAACAACCAATAAGCAGTTTTCTTATAACATTTGCAGAGTAATGCTTATTTGAATAATGACGTAGTTTTTGGACAGCAAAGTTCACCATACGATAAAATGGATTGCGAACTTGTACGTTGGCGCTCATTGTTTGAGAAGTGTCATCTTTATCAGGAAATCGGACTGAAACAGCGGGAAAACAACCAAAAAAAATTGCTGCCACAATTATTATTGTAACAAAAACTCGTGACATCTCTGGATTAATAGAAGCAGGAATGTTACATTCAATTTTCTGCGTGTGAAAGTTTTTTTGGCAACATTTATACTTCACTGAGGAATTAAAATTGGCGACATAACACAATGCACCTCTTTGTTGACTGACATAAGCTAAGAATGCTGTGGCCAAACTCGCTGTAACGCAACTGTAAGTTATGTTCTCCAAGCATTTTTGCGAACCAAATTCTACCATTACTGACATACTATGCACTTTCCGCCTCAAAGTTGTCATTGAATAAACGTTGAAGGCTAAATCTAGCGAAAGGAATGGAGCTGTGGTGTTTTCGACCCAGACAAGATTCACAGGATCCAAGATCTCTGTTTCTTTTGGTTTCTGAAGCCTCGATAAACTATTTCCGTGAAAATGCACAAACAAGACTTGTGAGTTGTCTAACGAGAAAGAGTTAAACTCGTTCACGGATGAATTTGGTAGAATAGCCTCGCATCTATTCTGGCATGGTGCAGTATGACGCACAAATCCAGGTGTAGATGTGTTGAAATCCAAAAGTGCTTTCATGAAAGTTCCGTATCCAACAGCTGCAAACATGACCATTGCAATATAATGAGCCATTGAACGATAATAGAGTTCCAAATACAATTTCAAAAACATTTTTAGGTGTCTACAGCTATAGAGATCGACTTAGTACAAAGATGTGGCAACCTTCTTGTGTCTTTTGTTCCAAGAAATCTCGTGATTTTAGATCGTGATTATTACGTTTGCACGATGGCGTGACACAACGCTTTTGACATGGCGGAAATAAATTTGAATCAAAAATCTTCGTCGTTTGGAGCATACAAAGGTCCTAAAAGGTCCTAATTTTGTCCTAAAAGGTCGATATGTCAATCTTTACGTCTAATAATGAAGACCATTTTCGAGCTCGAGTCAAAATCCAACTCATTAGAGTATGTTTGAATAAATTAAATGTGAGTAAGCTGTTTAACACGAGGCAAAGTCTTAAATAATGTAGTCAGTTTTGTCTGCTGTTCCGAGAAATCGCGTGATTTTTAGGTCACGATTGTTGAGGGTATTTTCCCCAGAACAATTTTTAACTCGAAGATTGCGAAGCAATCGAAGAGTTACTATGTCTTTGAAAAGATCATTTTCTTCACGCTAAATTTTATTGCAAAAAATACTTGCATATTAAAAATTTCGTTTTATAAAGGGTCAATTTGCATATACACATATTTCAACACTTCGAGGTCCAGAAAATTTTCTTTTCAATTAAATGGTCTGAAAATCAACAAAATAAATAGGACAGAGGTACTTAGAAAGCTACACTTTAAGTTTTGAAGATAGCTATTATATATTGTACATGAGCTCGGTATAAAGTTTGGCTATTTTTAGTGCTATTTTAGCAATCAAACATTTATCACGCAAAGGCCCAGTATGGACTAGTATGTGACTTTGTTTTTCAAAAAAAATATTTTTAAAAACCAATTACACAGAGATTGTTACCTAATTATATCTTATCGATAGACAAAAGTCAAAATGTGAAAAGGTGGTAATTTTTGTGTTTTGCCAATAATTTTCAATTTTATCTGGTTTCTGCGTGAAGCAGCTGTTAAAGACCCCTATCTTCATTACCTTGAATCAAGATTTGATTTATACACTGTATAAAATATGATATTTTTACGACTATTAAGAGACCTAGAGTGTAAGAATGACACTAAAGACAATATATTGTACCAGCACAAATACAATAAAATGACCCCCTTAGATGTCTTTTACGATTCCTAAAATCGAAGAATACCTACATCCTAGAGCGCAAAACAAAGCTAAACAACTCGGTAGCAACCTCCCTTTTTATTTTATTTCATTACTTCTACTTGTAATTAATAACTTTAAAACGTTTATTACAAGTACCTACAATTATTATCATCATGATATCATTACTACGGAATGGCCTTAAGGTAGGTTCTTTGTGGTTATAAAAAGAGTGCAACGACTACAACTACCATCAAACTTTCTAACACCAAATGGCGTCGCTACACATTGCTTATTTGGTGTACCTGCTATCTATAAATCATACTCTACTGTACTGCCAACATAGCAGCCGTCGTACTAAATGTAATACCATCTTAAATCTATTCCTAATAACAATCTAATTACAAATAAAAATAAAAATATGACAATTGTAACGGAATTCATTTGTTTGCACTGAAGAAGATCTGAGAGCAGATCGAAACGTCTGAATAAAAAACTAAGCTAGAGACAACTACATATGTTTTAATTACAAATACAAATGATGTCAATTAGTTCAGTCTTGTAACCGTTAATGGTTGGCTGTCAAATTTTCATTCTCATTTGCAAAACTGTTAATGTAATTGGTAAGAATATACCAAAGGACATCATAAAGAATTTCTGCAACTGTAATAAAGTTTAGCTTTTACTTAAGGAATAAAAGATGAAATTCCGTGTTTGATACTCTGATCAAAACACGCGGGATGTAGGGAGAGCACGAGAGAAGCGTAGGAAACCACGACGCGTAGCGGAGTGGTTTCCAGCTTTTCGAGTGCTCTCCCTACATCCCAAGTGTTTTGATCAGAGTATCAAACACGGAATTTCGTCTTTTATTTCTTTTCTAAAATTAAAAGAATAAAAGAAATTTTTGATGCGCACGAGCGTGTTTTGATACTGTAATCAAACATGGTTTTCGACCAATCACAGCGCGCGTAGTATCCTAAGTATTTTAGAATTGGTTTGATATTTGTAAAATTCGAACATCTAAAAGACTTTTTCAATTTCATAATGCTGGATAGGATTAAACCCAATACGTGAAGTCTTTAACACACAGTCACGCCAAGAAACTTTATTTTAAGGAAAACTAGTTTCGTCCCAGATTGGACCTTTTCAATTCCTTAAGTTTACAATCTGTACGTTTGGATTTCTACGATTTTTAAACTAATCGCGCGCGCTCTGTAGAAAGCGCGCGCTAATTAGACAGCTATGACTACATTTATGATTACAACAAGTATTTCTACGACAGTTCGATATTAGCCCGTGGTATTAAGACAGTGTTCCACTCTGTTTTGGTGTTCATAGATCTTCTTCCTTCTCTCTTTATCCTCACCGATTCTGTTATCTGTCGTAGCATTGGGTCTTGAT